GAGAGGCAGAAAAATCATCACCATCCCAGGCTGTATTAGGAGGGGTTTTAACAAAACTTGCTAAACACTGGCTCAGGAGAAGCCACAAGGCAGAGAATCAAAGCTCCCAAACAGCACAACTGCTGAGGGTGCTCAAGAGGGAGCAAGGAGAGGGTTTAGACACAAACCACCAGTTTTGTTTAAGGGAAAGAAGGTCAGAAACCTCTGCAGGGGTTGCTCCATGTCCATCTTTGCTCCATCAGACCAAGCTGTTTCAGCTGGACACAGGGAAGTTCAAGGTATGGTGCTTGTGGCTTCAGGACACCCATTGTCTATCAGAGGAACTTGGAAAACAACTCTGACACGATGCTTTTACACGCTCTCCACACCTGAGAGGACACAGGGGCTGTTTGGGCTTCTTATCAGTACCCATGTATGGTGGATGCCACATAAGCCAGTATTTAAAAAACCAACCAAACAAAAAGAACCCCAAACCAACCCCTCTCAACCAAAAATACAGCACTCATATAACCCCAAAATTAGGCTGTCTTTTGAAAAAAACTGTGTCAAAGATCAGCAAGAAAAAAGCTCTAAAAAACGTTCAGCCTGTGCAGATTAAATTCGCTCCTGACAAGACCCCAAAGGAGGAGAAGCAACGCAGGTGCTCATGTCCAGGCAGGGCATCAGGGCACAGACTGATCCCATCAGGCTTTGGAAGCTGCTCTCTGTGTTTACTGTCAGCTAAGAACAAGTTTCTCCCCAGTCATCACACACCAGCAGTTTTCAGGGTAGAAGTTTAGCAGCAGTTCTGGTTTGATACCAGCTCTAACCATGGATGCCATTCCCAGTCATCCAAGTTCACAGAGTCAGACTGGTTTGGACTAAAAGGGACCTTAAAGCTCATCTGGTTCCACCCCCTGCCATGGGCAGGGACACCTTCCACTATCCCAGGTTGTCCCAAGCCCCGTCTAACCTGGCCTTGGACACTTCCAGGGAGGGAATGAACAGGAGTTCACTGGTTATTCAAAATGCAAACTTTTATCTACATCCCACAACTTGCTCTTTCAACCCAAAGAAACATTTAGAGCTGAGCAACAAATGGCTTTGCTCATGAGAAGACAAGAATGGTAAATATATCCAGCTCCCACTCGCCCTGAGATGGTTTCACCTGACTGTAAACAATAAAAACTAAACATTCCCACACAGGGCAGGAGAAGGGGAGACACTGAGAAGCAGAAACAATAAAATAGATCCTGTGGGTGCCAGATCAGAGGAAGAGCAAGCCACGAGTTGTGGGAACCCCTGAACAGCCAAGACAGCTCTGGCTTTCTCCAGCACCACAAACACCTTGTGCTCTCGCTCCAGAGCTTGATCCCAGATTCACACAGCAGTGAGCCCTCTGGATCAGGGACTGAGGTGCTGGAAGCAGCTCGCGTGGAAATCAAAGCACCAGCAAACTTGCTTTTAAGTCACGAGTTCCAAGAAGGAAGGGGACAGTGCGGGTTTGGTGAGAGCATACATATTTCTGCATGAAGATGCAGGCACATGACCACCAAGGCCACTCCAGGTCACCCACAAAGCCCTGCCCGTGGCCAGAGTGAGCCAGGCTTTGTAGGGAGCTAAAAGAGCCAAGATGAAGGTGACTGGAGATGGTTGAGAGAGGGACAGCACAGGACTAGAGCACCAGGGAGAAGGGAGAGAGCAGCCACGAGAGGAAAGGAAGCAGCACAAGCCAAAAAAAATGGGTTAAAAGAAAAAAAGCCATTAAGCCACAGTGATTTTGAGGGAATTATTTAATGATCAAATTGCAACATGATACAAGAGTACAGGCAGTGTTAGCACAGATCTAGTCACACACACTTCCAGGGGAGGGCAGGGGCAGCTGCAGGGATCCCTCCTGGAGTCTCTGAGCGCTGTCACTCACACAGGGGCTGGTCTCCATGCTTCCTGAAAGCTAAGGAGCAGGATTTGTCCTGTTTTAACCTTCCATCAGGCACCCTCAGTGCTCTTGTCCCTGTGCATTCCCTGTAGGAAACTGCTTCTGCCAAACCCAAACAACTGAGATTTCCAGCTTTGAGCACAGACTTGCTCCAAGCCTACCCAAAGAGCCCAGGAATGGAAGGAAGCAGGGAATGAAGCTCCATTCCAGCTACCTGCAGGGGAGGGGGGGAGGCTGAAGGGATGAGAAGACTGCTCCAAGGTTCTGTATTTATCAAGGACAGCCTTCCTTCCACTCAGATACACCTTTGGGCTTTTATTCTCCCAGGAGGTGACTTCCAAGCTCCGCCTGGACATGCCTAGAGCCTGACCCAAGGGTTCCTCCCCCTGCAGTGGGAGCACTGAGCACATTCAGAAGTGGTTTGTTGTCCTGGTTCTTTAGTTGTAACTCATTGGAGCAGTTTTCTTCTGCACCTCCCACATGCCCAGGTCTCCTGCCTTGCTCTCCCCAACATTTGCTGCTCAGGGCACAAAGGAAATTCACCTTTAACTGGGCAAAGTTTCCCATCATCCTTCCTTTAGGCTCCTGATGTTCTCCTGTACAGCAGAGCTGGGAACAAGAACAGGTCTAGAGCTGTTTTGCTGCTGAAGAAGACCGAGACCATCCAAAAATGCAGCCAGGCATTGCTGTCTGCAGCCAGGAAAACCACCAGGAAAGTCACAGGCCTAGGACAGGAAACAGTTTGCTGAGCACACCAGGCACACAAGATCATATCCAACTCAGCCCTGCTGTTTTTGCTACATCAGTTGATGGATGCAGACTGAACAGAAGAGTCCAAGGACGTTTCAGGCTGCAGCTTACTTGGAAGCATTGGGAAAGCATGATAATAACTAAAAATATTTTTTTTAAAAACCCCTCTTGCCTTGCCAAAAAGCTGTGACAGAAATGCAGCAGCACACCCTGCTGAAGGACAAGCTGGTGTTTCAAGCACAGTAATCAGGTCTCCAGTACTGCCCAGGATCAGCTCCATCCCAATCTGCAGGTCCAGGGAGGTTGGGCTTTGAGCCATGGGAATGTTTAAAGCCAACTCAGCACTGAACTAGGAGAGGTTCCAAAATACGTGGGATCATGTTCCTCCTCTGGGTCACTCCATGCAGTGGATGGGCACTGATGAGCTCAAGGATGTATCCAGGCACAGTGTTCCAGCTCTGCTGACAGAGCTGGGGGGATCTAAGCAGCTCAGTACTTTTTAATAAAACACATTTCCTTAGCACATGTAAAGAAAAAAGGGAATTCCATGAACAATCTACAGAATCCACAGCGCAAAGAAAGCCATGCAAAGGGAAACAGGCAACTTAAAATACTAAATGAAAGTTTAAAAACTGGACAGGGATGCAAGAGGTTGATGACGTGACAAGCTCAATGTTCCTAGAAAGGCAACATCCAGAGCCTGTGGCCTCCTGTGCTGTTTGACACTGGAACATACCCAACGTACAGCTTCAAAGGAGCAGGTTTCTAGTCCCAAAAATAGCTAAGCTGGGTCAGGTTTTCAGTTAAATGCTAGAAAAAAAAAAAAGGCTCCTTCACCTAGTTCACAGTACAACCCTCCCAAATGAGTGGTCATCCCACACAAGGGACAGAGCACATCCTCCCTGCTCAAACATCACCAGACTTGCTTTTACTACACAATAGTGGTTGTGCCAACAGCAAAAAAAGTCTGAACTGCCTGAGCACTTCACTGCAAGTGAGACTCATCCCAACAGGAGCAGATGTGTTAATGGATCATCCAAGCTGCAGCTGTTACAGACCCAGGACTATTTCAATGCATGTATGGCTTATTAATGTCCTGTCACCTTGTGGATTTGACTTCTGCTCCACCAGAAATGGAAACCATCTCCCTCAGCTCTCTCTGTTGTCACTGCTCCTTTCTCTCTCCCCCCATACAGGCCTCTGATCTTTTCCAGTAACTTCCAATGCCAAAGTCAACCAGATCTGCCTCAAAAAAATGATTCTTGGGAGGCTCAATTGCAAAGCAGGTAAAGATAATCCCCCCAAAGCTCCTCCCTTGTCTTTCTGTGACCCCATGGAAAAACAGGGGAGGGCAATTTTATGAGTAGCTCAGTTGGTCAGAGCATGGTGCTAATAACAACAAGGTTTGATCCCTGCATGGGCCATTCACTTCAGAGTTGGACTCAATGATCCTTGGGGGTCCCTTCCATCTGAGAATATTCTGTGATAAACTGAAACTCCCCCACTGAGGTGTTTGCTGAGGGTCCAGCAGGAGCACAGCCCGCACGTTACAACAGGTCAGTAAAGGCAAGGCTGACACAAACCCAGCCACCAGCTTGCACTCCAGGTTTGACAATGCCACAGGTGTTATCCAGAGTCACACCCTGCCTTCCCAGCATTCCAGACACCAACACCCTGTGGATAAGTGCCAAGAGTTGAAGGAGACCCGACCCGAGGCTCATAGCCCTGCACACCAAGCTCTCCCCCTCCCCTGTAGCTGTCACCCCTCAGCCAGGACACACGTGCTCCATGCCTTTTCCAGTGAAGCCACTCTGTCCCCAGGCCAGGAGAGCAGCGTTCCTGGTGCCTCTGGAGAGGGACACAGCTCCCTGCACGAGGGTCACACCTCCTGCAGCGCTGCGGACACACCGAGAGATGAGACAAGCGGAACAGATTTAGACCAAAAGCAGTGGACATTTATTCCTCATTTGTGCAAGAGTGTCAAGATGCATTTGGGAATGGCTGGGACAGACCCTGTGGCCGGAGAGCCAGCGGCTCCAGCCTCTCCTGCCCGATGGCTTGGGTTACAATTCTACTAAGAGGAGATAAACTTGCAGACTCACCTACTGTCACACCAACGATGCTGGCAAATACACTTGTATACAAAGAAAAGTTTCAAACTACTTTTTTTTTTTTCCACTAGATTCAAGTGAAGACTTTGTTCCAAAAAAAAAAAAAAAAAAAAGACACATACAAGTACAATTTAAAACTGTATGAACATTTGCAAATGTTTAGTGCAAAGTAATTATGTAAAAGCTACATTTTATGAAAGTTTGTGCTGATGTGTTTGGTAGGTTGTTTTTTTTCATTTTTTTACCCTTTTACATCCATTTTTTTTTTAGTTACATAAGGTTTCACTTACCTACAGTACATATGCATTGTGTTAGGTCCCATGCAAGTGGGAGTAATACCATCAGGCTTTGTAAAATGTCACTCTGATTCGCATTTAGTAAACTGCTTATTTGGTTTAACAGTCAAGTTCCTGGCACACTACACATCCTGATTTCATCTAAGTGCTCAAGCTCCTGTTTGCCTCTTCAGGTGCCTTGTGTGATGCAAACCAAACTGCTTCACGACTTCAACCCAAAAGTTGGTTTGTTTTTGTTTTTTTAAGAGAAATCCACCGTTAGTTTAAGCCTGTAACAAACTGCTCTGAAAATTAAAAGCCTATTCACACAAAGTTATATGTAATGACTGTAGTAATCAGTTTATTACACAGATTAATCATTCTTGAACGTACAAGCTCCAGGGGAGCAGTTGGGTCTTTAAATACACACAAGTTTTCTGTCAAATGGATTTTTTTTTTTTTACCCTTACATCCAGAAAGACCTAAGCAGTTAAAAAACTTAAGAAAAAATAAGAGCTATTAGCTAGGTATTAACTGAGAAACCACATACAAACCAAAAAAAGTATGAAGGGAGGGAGAGAGTTGAAACAAATCAACATCACTTGATGCACTAATAGCTCCAATCCATTTAAATGGTGACCGGTTAAACTTAGACCTTAAACACAGGATGTGGGTACAGTTTCTCATTGGTCATAACATTTACCTAAGGTGTAGGTCCTTCAGAATAAAATGAATACAGAAACAGTTTCAAGTTCTTCACCTTGCTTTTCATAACTGTTATGAGTTTAAAAGGATTCCACTTAAAATCCTTCATGGATCAGCAACACTGTCCCTAAGAAATCTGAGAACCACCAGGACTCTTCCCATTCCCATCTGATTACCCAATTTTAACTCAGCAAGGAATGCTTTTAGGCTCACAAAGTTATGACTGAAGAACCAGCTTTTCACACACACACTTCTCTGCTAGGAGTCAATGTTGGTACGGGGAAATACAGTATTTCTAGTTTGTTGTTCCAAGTATGTACAACACGCAGCACTGCTGTATCAGGTAAACATGTGCACAGGGGAAGATGAGGCGTGGGCTCATAGAAAGCAGTCAAATGGAAATCAAAAGGACTTTCTCTTTCAGAGTTCCCCTATCTTTATTTGTAGAGGTTATCCAATAATTTCTTTAATTACATCGCATACTTCTGAGTCCATTCCCGAGCTATTCTGTTGTACCTGTATGTATAAAAAGAGGATTTACTTAACGTGGCATCTGCACAGTATTCCAGCTCCAGCAGTCTAGTCTACACATGGCATGAACTCACACTCTCTACAGTACACTATCATCAATTTGTAACATTTAAGAGCAAAATTAAACACTAAGCAAACAGGGGGAACAAGAAAGCCCAGGGTGCTTCATGGAAAAGAAATACCTGGTCATGTTTACAACAGGAGTATGAGATCTTTGTGACTGGAGCCATAAAACAGAGCTAGAAAAGGGCTGAGGGGAAAGGATTCTCAGGAAGGCTTCACCTGTGCCTCCCCTAACCCCTGGGAAAACTTACTGTAAGGTTTCATTTGGACATTCTGGAATGATTAATGTGTCCCTTGCCATCTCCTCCCTTCAAAGTTAAACCCAATACCTGCCATCGACTCATCTGCCCAACCCCAATATGTTCCTTGTTGCATATTTGACTGTCATTTTTTGATGACTGTCAGGACACAGTGATTTGTCCATGAGAATTGGTTTTGTTCTGAAGGCACAACAATTCCCAACCCCCCTGTGGCTTTTGCACCCAAATATCCTTCACAGCCAGAGGAAGCTCAGGATACTTGTGTAAATCAAAGCAGTTATGATTAACTGCACTGATGAAAGCTTCTCTCTGACAACCAGTTGTTGTTATTCTACAGAATTAAAAGAATAAGATACTTACAGCCAGAATTTTCCTATAGTTATGCACACTAAGTTGGTTTGTGTTGGAATTTAGTCAGGAGACAACATTCTTTAGCCTAAAGGATCTGAAAATCCACTCCTAACTCTCTCCTTCCCATCACTGCTCAGAGACTACTCAAGCAGCAAGTCCTTATGGTTAAGCCCAAAAATTTGTTTCCCTATTTTTGGGGGGAAAAAAAAAAAAAAAAAAAAAAGAGGAGTCCTGCATACTTAAAGTGCAGACAGACAGTGTTCACTGCATCTCCAAACAGGTGCTGCTGCTCTTGCAGCTCTCAAAAACAGGATGCATGAACTTCTCTAACACTGCTCCTCAAGTATGCAGTAGACAAAGCAAATTTGTGGATGATTTTCCCTTCCCTGACCAGATCTGGGAGGGAACAGAGAGGTAGGAAGTGTTTACAATGGTCATTAAGCTGTTAAAGTGCTCATTAGCACTAAAGCTTCTCTGTACAGAAGTTTGGGAGTCCTCCTACCCCAACCTCTACACCACTGGTTCTTCCCTTGTGCTATCAAGTGAAGGAGAAACAGGGAGTTTTTGTTATTTCTTTGTATGATTCCAGACCCAGAGCTGCCATGGAATATTCTCCCGTTGGAGTAACTTGCTCTCCCTCTGCTGGCTATGTGGGATTAAAGCAGCTCAGAGAGTGGCATTACAGATCTCAGGGAAAAACAAAAACACCTCTAAAAAGACCACAGTTAGAGCTTTGATTTGCCTTTTTTCAGTCTTTTCCAAGAAGTGGGGCCTTTCAGTTCCCCTTTACTGTGTAAGTGTGGATTCTGCCCTGTCATATTTCACGTTTTTTTGGCTTCCATACTTACTTTTCTCTATCTGTTTTGTAGATCCGTGCAATCTCAGGCACTAAAGGATCATCTGGATTGGGATCACACAACAGAGAACAGATGGACAAAAGTACTGGGGAGAGAAAAGAGACACAATTAGTTTCAGTGCAGCTGAGGACACCTGCACAGGTCAGCCCACGCCCTTCCTTCCCCTCCAGCCAGTAGCATCAGCAGCATTTATTTAAAATTCCCAAGGAGTAGTAATCCCAGGTACATCAACTGAGTGATTCTGAACAGAATTCCTTACCAGTGAACTACAAAACTTCACATGACCACAATGTCACAAGGAATAACCTCCTGGATAGGTGTGTCCAGCAGCAGCCATGTCTACCTGAACCCACACGTGAGAGCATTCTGGGAAGACTTCCCTGCTTTTGCACCTGAAATTCAGCTTTTCCCTAAACCAGACACCTCACTGTTAAATGACCTGGAGTAGCACTACTCAAAAGTCAAACAGCAGACAAGTCCAGCTGAGATGAATTAAGAAAGGGCTGTTCACAGCTACTTAAGAATCACAGAATGGTTTGGGTTGGAAGGGACTTTAAAGCTCATCTCATTCCACCCCCCTGCCACAGGCAGGGACACCTTCCACTAGACCAGGTTGCTCCAAGTCCCATCCAACCTGGCCTTGAAGATCTGTTTAAAAATACACCACTCTTGCAGAGAACTAAGAGGCTTTACCCAATTATTTTCCAAGCATAAGGAAGATTGAGATGGATTAAGTGTAGTGTAATATTCAAAATGACCCAAGAACACCCAGCTCCCTGCACTGCTCCCAACCCCAGAGCCCTCGAACTTGAGTGTTTCACTATAAATATATAGTGCCTATATCCCAGAGGCCACATCCTGCTCAGCTGAGTGACAACCTCATCCATACAAGGAGCCAGGAGACTGCTGCAAAGCCACAAATAGCACACGGACATTCCTACATTCACACCAGAGAGGAGAGGAGAAGGCAGGGAGTTACAAGCAAAGCATATTGGGACAACACTACGCCAGGCACGGCAGGGACATCTTGCCCCCCTCCCAGAAATGCCAAACATTCCCTTCTCTCCGCCTGTTTGGATCAAACAGTGCCACTCCATATGTCCCTTCACCAATTGCAGCGACGCGGAGTTGTCACAGTGCAGCCTCCGAGCAAGTTGGAGATGACAAGAGTGAGGAGCTTGAAGACACTAAAACACAAATCTGCTCCAATTTCCATCAGTTGCACGAGGCAGCTATCCATGAAAAATGAAAGGAAACAGCACACAGCCCCATAAAAACAAAGGAGTTAAGATAGGTTAAAACACAGGCCACAAAACAGATCACAGAATGGTTTGGGTTAGAAAGGTCCTTAAAGCTCAGCTCGTTCCACCCCCTGCCATGGGCAGGGGCATCTTCCCCTAGCCCAGGTTGCTCCAAGCCCCATCCAACCTGGCCTTAGATACCTCCAGGTACGGGGCAGCCACAGCTTTCTCTGGGCAACCTGTGCCAGGGCCTCACCACCCTCCAGAGAGAAGAGGGAAACAGGTGTGATATTCATTGGAAATGGAGAAAGGTTTTTTTCCAAGTGGGACAAAAGTGAAAGCTTCCCTACATCTGAACTGAGTGTGGTGCTTGGTGGTGTGAGCACCAAGAGAACACAGAAAACCACTTAGTTCAGTTTCCCCCATTTCTGTAGACCCTTCACTAGTCAATTCTCAATTCCAAGTTCAAAGCATTTAGGGAAAGTGTGGTAATAAAGTGGCCTTGATTTAAGTGAACATATTTCTGGTTTGGAATAAAGAGCAACCTCTTCCTCCTTTTCCCAATTTTCTACTGTACACCTGTGAGAGAGTTAAGGGCTTAATTATCCTCTACCATAACTGACATTTGGGCTATTTATTGAGCTCCCTCTCAGAACACAGCCTCAGAGTGTGAGGGAAGCATGTAGAAGCAACTAGTCCTGAAGTGCTTAGCAAGGGACAGAGTCCCTTAGCAAGGGACAGAGCACATTTAGCACCTGTAGTACAGCTCCAGCACCAGCTCCTTTCCCCCACATACACTGAGTAAAGTGTTCAGTAATGGGAACTCTTTGACACATCCAGCTGCTCCCAGTCAGTTTAGCCTCAAAACAGCTGTTTGTCCAGCAATTCTCCTGTAGCTCATTCCTTTCTGTCTGTCAGACTCCACTGCTCTGATCACTTGAGTTTCTTCAGCTGTAGGATGAGTGAGACAGCTCAAACCTGTCCCCTGCCTTCACCAGAAACAGCAGGAGATCCAATCCAAGTTTTCTGGTCAACTATTGTAACTATTCCCTCAAGTTTTATCTTACCACAGTCTTTAAAAACCAAGGACTTTTCAGAACACAGTGGCTCAGAACCACACTGCAGGTCTGGCCAGTGCTCTCAGCCCTTTTCCCAACACTCAGTTCACTTTTCAGCATCACTCCAAAAACACTGAATAAAAATCATTTGGCTTCAAGCTGCACTGCCACATTCATCTGCTTTGTTTTATTTTTTTAAGTCTTCATTAATCCAAACTATTCTCATTACACTTGCTCTTGCTGGTGACTTCACATAATTCCCTTTTTATCTGTACAGCCCCAGCAAGAAGAGCATTTTTAACCAGTTATCTAAACTGGTGTAATTTTAATATCCTGCTGAACCCAGTTATCTGTTCATATCAATTTAGGAAGTTTCTCTTGAGGTTTTCCACTAGAACATTGCACATACACACCTTTTAGACCAACCAACATAAGGAGCCTCCAGACCACTGTGGAAAAACCCCTTGGAAAAGGCACCTTCTCAAAGTTTCAAGTGCAAGGGTAAAGAGGAAGCAATCAAATATGTCAGTTGTGTATCAGAGTAACTAATTAAACCAACACTATGGAATTAGAGACTCACCAGACCACCCTCCTCTGCAATCAAGTATTACAGCAATGAACTCCACAGCAAAGCCTTGACATTTACTACTCAAATGACTACACTATTAGTAGGAGACAATAAAAAAGTTCCCAAAAAGCTTTGTAACCACAGAATTAAGCTGAATAACTACACAAGGCAGGTAAGTGACATTTTTACACCTTGTTCTACACATCCTGCATGACCATAGGCAAAGCATTATCAGCTTGACAGCATCCCTTGGAGTCTCCCACTGGAAGGGATGTACCACAAGTGTGCACTCTTCGAATTCAAGTCTGGATTTTTGTCAGTAACTGCAAAATAAACTTTACTTGCCATTGATTCAAAGGGTTCCTCCCTTGAAACAACTCTGTACAGAATTATTTCTCATCTCTTCACTCTTAGCTGTCAGAGTTGCCCATTCTGCAGCAGAACATTAAGCAACTTAGAACCACTGTCAGTTTAAAGCTCCCTTTCAGTCCAAAATTGGGTTTGCTTTGTTTTATTTCACTCACCAGGCAGCCTACTGACCTCTAACATCTCAGCTATGCTCCCCATATATCTCTGCAGACAAAAACACAACCTACTCTTCAGTGTGGTTCCTTCTGCCATGAACTAGCACAGACCAAGTACTTCTCAACACCAAGGGACTGGGAGAACCAAACTCATCAAGCAAACAGGTTGACAACAAAGTGGTTCTAAAAATGGGCTTAGCTTCCCCACAGAGCAGTGAGAGAAATGCACCTTCATCAGGCACAATGATCACTGAACACTTAATATTAGATCGCTTGAATAACATGCAGAATACAGTCTACAGTGTAACAGAGCACAACTGGCATCCAAGTTCCCACTGCAAGACTTGCCTTTACAAAGCACAAAACACTCTGAAGTTCAAGCACAATCTCTCCAGGCAGAAAATCCTGCCATGGACAGCTTGTCAGCAGGATCAGCTACAGTTCAGCACGGCATGATCCACCTCCCCTCCTCAGCAGCTGCTGTGCTCTCACACCTCCCAGGCCAGCCCACCATCCCCAACCAGCAACTTCACCTTCCTGCTTCTGCCCCATCTCAGACTGAAGGGGTGGGTAAGATGCAAATTCCACTTGTAAACTCCATGGCTGAGGTTCCTCTGCCAGGAAGCAGCTCAGGACAACCCATGACAACAGCTCTCCACAGGTCCTTCCAACAGTAGCCAAATGAGCAGTGTGGAACACAATTTAAAGCACTACTGGAACATCTATTGGCTCATCCAAATTTAAGAGGCATGTTAAAGTTCCTGGAACTCACAGGTGAAGAGACTCTTAAAAGCAGCTGATCTCCACTTCCTCATCTTCCAAACACAACCCTCAGATGATTCACTTTGTCTGCAAAGCCTGACTGGTGTAATATCCACCACTCCAGCCACCCCTGACAGAGTACCAGCCACTACAGATACTGCTGTTTAAGTCCAGCTGGAATTCCAAACAAACCTGCTCCAGTAAAGCACTCATCCATGGGACACTTCAGGGTAAGGAAAACCAACTGAGGAGCAATGGAATCTCCAGCTGAATCACAGCAGGGAGATGAAAAGCACCAATTTTTCCAAGGTAATGAAGCTATCCAGAAAAAACGACTGGTGTGTTCTGATCCAACAGCTGCTTGGTGCAGTTACTGCTCTCCAAAGAGGAGCCAATTTAGAATCCATCCAGGAGCAAGGGTTCATCTCTAAGCAAGCACAGAGACTATTTAACAAACCCTTTGCTGGTGCAAAGTACCAAGAAAGTGCTGAGATGGTTGCTCTGCATGCCAGACTTTCAGGACAGCAGGATGACACTTACTCAGCTCTCTGTCTTGGCTGGAGTGACATAGGAGTCTCAGGATCACCTTATAATCAAAAAGGTCATGCACTGACATGAACAGTTGGATAACACAGGGAAGCATGGATTCCTGGCCATCAGCAGTTCCCAGCAATGGCAGCAGCCCACCCCACCTGCTGTCCCAGGGGAGTGATGAACACTGTGCCCATAAGGTCTTTCTGTGGAAAGCCATTTGTCACCTCCTGGAGAGCAGGAGACAGTGCTGTGCCTCCTGATCCAGCAAAGTCTCTGAATATGAACCTAAGAGTTTGTCAGCTCAGGTTTAATTGATTGTGAAACACCTCTGCCAGCAGAAATATGAGCCTTGGACACAACACTGCTGAGGAATTCTGAATTCCATGCTGGGGGGTTCATCCAGCTGTCCTGCTTCTCCCACCAGCTCCTTCACTGATGCCTGGCAGCCTCCACATCAAGGCCCACTGCTACTTCCACCTCTATTCCTCAAAATCAGGAAGCAACCTGATTCCTGGAAGGAGTATTCTCCTATACAATCATTGCTTTGGAGTTTCAGGCCCCAGACTCTTGAAACTTTTGAGGCACACAGCTGTCAAAGAGTTTTATCAGCACTGACAAACATTAAGCTTTTAGCTTTAAACACACTGAAAACACCACTGGTCCAACAGCTTCAAATGAGTGGCTCCTGACTGTGAATAGGCAAGGTGCACCCAAATAAACTAAAGCAGCTTCAGACTCTGCTCCAGTTCAATCCTATTTCTTAACCATGGTCCCATTTCCAACTCCTCCAGCCTCTTCCCCAGCCCTACAGGAAGTGTACCTTTAAATCTGAGCAGTTTAAACTTCTGGCTTCAAAGCAACTTGAATTCCTGCTAAGTCAGTTCAACAATTTCTGGTGACAAAAGAAGAAAAGTTAAGTGTTGCCCAGTGTATCACAGACTGGTTGAGGTTGAAAAGGATCTCTGGAGATCATTTTGTCCAGCCCCCTGGCTCAAGCAGGGCCACCTATGGCAGGTTGGCCATGACTGTGTCCAGGTGGTTTTTGAGTATCTCAAAGGCAGGAGATCCCACAACCTGCCAAGGCAACCTGTGCTGGTGCTCAGCACCCTCACAGTAAAAACAAAACACAAAAAGGTGTTTCCTGCTGTTCAGAGGGACCCTCCAGTGCTTCAGTTCATGCCCTGTCACTGGGCACCACTGAGAACAGTCTGGTTCTGTCACCTCTGTACCGTCCCTTCAAGTATTTATAGACACTGATAAGATCCCCCCAAGCCTTCTCTCCTCCAGGCTGAACAGTCCCAGCTCCCAGCCTGCCTCATAATGGGAGATGCTCCAGTCCCTCCATGGCATTCATGGCCCCTCACTGGGCTCTCTCCAGTACATCCATGACCTCCTTGTTCTGGGGAGCCCAGCACTGGATAAGTGCTCCACATCCAGCCTCACCAGTGCCAAGCAGAGGGGAAGGATCACATCCCTCAACCTGCCAGCCACACTCCTCCTAGTACAAACTTCCTTGGAGCAACACCTGGGAAGCTGCACAAGTGGTTAAACTACAGTTTTGGGAGTTGAAAAGCAAAAATGGGCATTTCCCTTAGAATCCCAACTCAGCACATCATGTCACACCCATGTTCTGTGACAAAGCCACCCATTTATGTGGGTAAGTGCTACAACAGGCAAATTAGAGCACCAAGAAGACGATCAGAAACCAGGTTCCCAATTTTTAAAACTGCACTGTGAAGGTCCAGTTCATTTAGGTCACTGGGTACTTGGGAAATCCCACGCAGTAAGTCTCAGTTAAGCAATTCTTGAGGAGCAGCAGCACAGAAAATCCACAGCACACTGGGCATGGAAGTTTGGACAGTGGAGCTGAACTCTGCCATGAATGAGGCTGAAGTTCCTCACTGCCCCTCCAGCACACTCAAACGGGCTCCATGAGTCATTAGTTACAAAACATGGGGAGAAGTGGGACAGGAAAGCAAGCTGCCTGACTTTCACTGCAGAAGTACTTCAAGATTAACTCTTGCACATCCACTTGCCAAGTTCAAGAGAAAGCGTGGCTTTTTCCCCCAAAAGTGGCTGGGAACAGCTGTAATCATGTTAAAATACTTCAATCTCCTGTTTCAGGCAACAGAGATTCTTATTTGTACAGAGCTGGAGATAATGTTTTTAATTTAAGCCTACACATTCTACTTAAGCCTTGGAGTTCAAATTGCCCACTAGGTGTGGTTAAGACTGTATTTTGAGATGATTTATTCTCCAGTATGTATTCTTTAAGGAACACTGAGTTAAGAATTACTAATACAAGCAAACTGGCTGTTCTACTGAGACACTCACTGTTGTTCTCCCAAGTCTTCAGAAGCTGTTTTAACAATTCTAGGAGGGATAGAACAAAACCCCAAAATGCCAGTCACCTGTCATAGCCACAATCACTTTATCAAGTTGCTTACAGAGGGCTCCAGAGTGTGAGGGGTCAAGACCCTTTACCAGCAAACTGGGATGATTAACTACCACTGACAAGATTTATCACTGCCTTTTCACCAAAAAGTGGCACTTGAAATCCAAAGGAAGCCACTGCACACCCCTTCCCCTCCCTCCTTGGAGGTTAAGGTGTAAAACATGTTCATGTACCACACATTAACTGCAGCATAACACCAAGCCCATGCAAGCTGCTGGCAGTGCTGCCTCCCAGCTGCCTCAGGAGGAAGCTGTGCATGATAAGCTTTTTTCCTAGAAGGACTGTTTCTAGTCATTCCAGATTTCTCAATCAGTAGAAAGCACATTTTCTTTTTTCAGCTGTGCTCTAGTTATCTGCTTACAGATTTTAAATTCAAACAGCTTGTTCCCAGTAGTATCCCAGTTAAAGGGTGGCACGATTTAAGAAAAAGTCTAAGAAATCCACAATACAAATAATAAATTGCTGCTTTGGAAGGGATGTGAGTTTATTGCTGAATGTCTTAAGTCTTGTTACTTACTCTAAATTACCTAATCCAACAGCTTTTCCTGCTAGGAACACATCCATTCTTTGATAAGGCTGATCAGTCACTAGAGAGCTAAAATAGCCCCAAAGTCTGTCATGACACATTCTAACCTGACTGAACACAAGATTTCAGCCCTAAAAGACTCAAGTTGCCTTTGTGCAATTTCTTTACACTTGCTCAAGATGGGAACATCAGCTCTTTGCTTCTGAAGTTGAGCTCTGCTTTCTGTGATTCTGAGGAAAGTATTCCCTGTTTCTATAAAGTCACCTATAAGAATTTGCTTTGCTGCTTTAATTCCTTCAATAAATGTACCCCAAGGGAACTGGGAACAAGGTTTTCTCCCAGGTTAGAGCTGTATGGATGCTGTGCATGTGCAGCAGAGTTTGGGCACCGAGTGAACTGCTCTTCAGTGAGTGAGAAGTGATCAGCACTACAGAGCCCCCTGACCCCAGCAGGGCACTCACAGGGGGCAGTGGAAGGGGCACGGTGGCACAGAACAGCCACCCTGATCCCACAGAACTCCAGCTGAGCCAGGAGGATATAGTTTGAAAAGGGTAAGAAAAAAAGGAGTCCAAAGCAGAAAACAGAAGGAGATGTTAAAGCATACTGCAAATGTATTTGGGCAGCAAAACTAACACTAGGATGTATTTTCAGTCCACTGCTGCCCTTAACCAGTCTCTTGAATTCTTGCCCCATCTTTTCCCAACTGTCCCAATTCCAGTCTATCTCCCAGTATTTTCAAGCATGCTGTCTATCACCCCACTGCCCATATGGCCACTTTAGACTCCCTAAAACAACACACATTCTGCCCAGTTATACAGCAATTAAATCAAACCAGAACAGATGTCAGTGCTTGGTGCTAACTTGGTGCTTCCAGGAGCAGCCAGTACTGACTGAGAGCACTTGTAAGGAAATTATAGCAACCTGACAATCATTTTCCCTTTACTGACACAATTTCTTCAGTTCTTTCAACTCACAACAAAGACTTTCAGCCTCATGCACGAGCAAATTCACTTCTGACAAGAGACAAGGAGATACTGTTTTGCCTTTCCAACTGTTTCTACAAATGCCTTTAGCTGGACAGAGACGGTGGGAACTTCTGTGGGTTCAGGGAAAGAGACAGTGATGATGTCCAAGGGATGTACCAGGAACCACCTGCCTAAATCCAAAATTGCCCAGAAACATCACAGGGAGTTGGGGAGAAGGAGAGGGCACAGGAAAGCCTCAGAGCAGGGACATGATGTGAAGGATAATGTCATCAATGTGGCAACTGCAGCGTTTGAGCACAAGGACAGTGTGAAGCTACAAAACAGAGGAGTCGAGACATGGTAAATGCACAGGGTAGACCCAAAATATTCCTAAATAGCCATGGCTAGACCTACAAACCTGATCTAAAGTTTATAAATCTACAGTTTCATTAGCCAGAAAAATCAATAAAATTCCAACCTGGGTCTTCTTTCAAGCATTTAAAGCCTCATTTATATTAAATATGAATACTGCTTTACCAGGCAAAGGATACATTCCAAGCTAACCACTAACTCAGCTCACAGGGTCCAAGATATTTTTAGCTAAAAAAAGTCAAGATAGTGCAAGCTAGTTAAGTTTTATAACATGCTTTAGCAGTGCATGTCACTGAAAGCTTTGTTTAAAAGCTACCAACACGGAGTTATGATGTTTCCTTGAAAAAGGATCTTTTAAGATGACAAACAATTAGACAAGTTTATAACTTCTTAAAAACTACAGCTGCTCCCTTACATATTTTACTTGGTGTGTATTCTGAACATTAAAGTCTTTCATTATCATTAACTAAAAATATATAAAATTAAGCCTAGTGTCAGTGTTCAGACTCTGAGGTGAGGTGGCAGAAGTGTGTACTCAGTGTAGTAGGACTTATCTGATCCACTGGCAAAGCTGAGGAGTCTCCCTGTGCCCCAGGGCAGATGGATGTCCCGAGCATCCTACACTCAGGAATTGGCTGCAAGCTCCATGCAGGGTCACACGACTGAAGCAGTGACCACAGAAATGGTTGATGCCAGCAGGAATGCAGCAGTTTTTACATCCCAAATCAGTACTTCATTTCAGCAGAGTAAAATTAAAATGAGCATTGGAGGTACCTTTTGAAATAGTTAGTGCTGGGGACCACTGTGATCGTAGAATATCAAGACAAATGCTGCCATTACTGTTAATATTTGGATGATAGATTCTTGTTGTAAATGCAACCTGCAGAAGAAGGAAAATTTTCAGTGTAGGCTCACAAATATATACATCAGACCACATGGTAACGGATGGATTTATGGTAGAAGCCACTCACCTTAGGTGGTTTGAAGGGATAATCTGTTGGGAAGTGAATTGTCAAGAAAAATACTCCACCTTGATAGGGACTGTCGTTCTGTTAATGAGAAAGAATCATTGCAGCTTGAGGAGTTATTACAAGACAACCCATCATAAAAAGCCATGAGCATCAATTCTCTCATACTTACTGGTCCCATTATTGTAGCTTGCCAATGGAACACTGAAAGAGAGAGAGATTTACTTCAGTTTGGAGAAGCTCAAGTAATGATCTTACTTTCTTCCAGACAAAGCAGCACAGAAAAGTCTATTCTCAAAACAAAGCCTTCTGAAAGGCTGCAGGGAAGGGAGCCAAGGAATTAAACAGACACAGGGCAAAGTACTCAATGCTCCACAGCCCGGGATTGCTGTGGTACCACACATATGCCCTGCAAAAATCCTGTGACAATAGAAATCCAGACAGTCCTAGGCAACTTTTCAGACCCAAAAGTGTGAGTTTAAACTCTGCAGTTTCTAATGAAGCAGCTGAACCAAGTTTCCATGACTGCCCTGTGAGAACAAAAGGTACATGATGAGCTCATACCTGCTCTCCTCTCAGAGCCCTGGTCACACAGAGAACAAGGCCAAGCTCTGTGTACACCACATGTACAGAGGTAATTTAAGCCACTGCTATCCTCACTGAACTTTTAAGTTTAGTCTCTCCACAGAGGCCTCAAGATTTCATTAAAGCAGCAGAAAGCAATGTCTTAAGAGAATGCAGGAGCAACAGTCTGCTCCAGACTCAGGACCAGAATGTGCTAGGACACACTTTAGGTTAAGTGGACTAAAGTTAAACCTCACTCATATGCATCTGTCCAAGAGAACATAAATCTGGTCACACAGAGGACTTGTGAAGAATGTTGTTATGCTGGAAAGGAAAACAATCCAAGTTGATAATCTGTATGAGGTACGTTACAGAGTTCTTGGAGTTCCTGCATCTCCAAAGGCTCCAGTGCCTGTGCAAGGAGCACAAATTATTTGGGAAACAGGGCCATGGAAGCTCCCCTCAGCATGGATGTAGCTACATGGCACCTTCAGACTGGGAAGCTGGAGGTGACTCCAGTTGTTGCTAGGGAAGTCTTCCAGACACAAGATGTTTGGTATCTACAGCTTCAAGACTACCTGGGCCAGAAGTCAGGAGTGGTACTACCTGTTCTAATCTAGCATGAGCAGTTTTTAATTACACATGGTACAGGCATTACAGCTGGGAATGATGTCATACAAGGAAGAAGGAAAAAAGCAAAGTGGGAACAGCCCTGCAAGGACAGAGGAAATGAGTGTTGGGTTGGAGCAGGTTTGTTTTAATCTAGTCTTACATTTCTATAGGAATGTGGAAGTTTCTATACATTTCAGCACCGGTGAACAGCTCAGAAATTATTCAGAAAGATCTTGGCAGCTAATTTTTTTCCTTTTAGAAAGGATATCTGAGCTTAGAGCCCTCAGCCCATAAATGGATTTCCCTACTTAAATATCCCCTCTCTCAGGAGCTTGGATGCAGCAGCCTTGGAGAAACTACATTCAATGCAGAGCCAGGAAACAGAAACAGATCACGTGTCCATAGGTAGCATTCCCCCCCTTTCAAGGGGTTCAGCCAGCTTCCCAGGAAGTGCCTATCACCTGCACAGGGAGAAACCTGGAGCAGAGGACAAAGGGGCAGCAGGAACCCCATAGGGAAGATTGTGGCCAGTCACAGCAAAACCACCAAAAATCTCACAGGCACCAGTAGATGCTGAGGAGATTTGGTGGAGTACACACAGGCACCACTGAAAAGAGAAGTTCAAATAACCATCTATTGTCTTAAACCCAACAAGAAACCAGAAAGAAAAACATTTCCACAGTGAATCTTAACTTTTTGAAAGCTCCCACCCCAGACTCAAGCAAAGCTTGTTTAACCTAAGCTTTAGATCCTCACAATATCCAGGACAAGTCTGATGAACGACAAGATGGATTTGACATGCAGAGCTTATTCCAATTGATTCTTTCCTTTGAAATCACCCATAAAAAGGTATTTACAAAGTAAGGGGCTGCTGACTTTCAGTAGGTAAGCACAGGTACATGTCTGGAATAGCTAAGCCACTGGAAGCACACCAATGTCATCCAGTCCCAAGCGCATTTCCAAAACACAGGCCAGAGGTGGGTGGAAAAGGGCTAAAACTCCATTGCCAAGAAAATCCCCTTCCTACAGTTCACAAGGCAGGAACAGCTCTTCCCAAAGTTTATGAACTACAGGGATGAGACACTTATAGCTGGGGACAGTTTGTATCAGCTGAAGTAGCCACAGGAGAGCACTTTGCAAGTACAGCATGTCCTGAACATCAGGAAATGTCACTCTGACAAGGCAGCCGAGGCACACCTGGAGCACAGGGATCTGGGAGAAGGCACTTTGCTGCTGCTGCCACTGCTATCCACTTACACACCCCCCGAACTGTTGCTCTCAACAACTAAAGTCTTTCATTAGAGGTCCTTCAGAAAGGTGGCACAAGAAGAACTTTTAGTAATTTAAAGCTTTCTGTGCTCAGCAGTAACTTTCCACCTTCTCTGCCAGACAATCGTCATCACCTTTGATAAGGCTTTGGAAACCACAAAGCAGTTTATCGTGGCACAAATCGCACTTGCTAATTTAAGGGAATAAAAGCCTCAGCCTGGCTCTCCATCTTAGTCATTTCTTTTCCATGAAACTACAAACCTCTTTGAAATACTATTTGGAAAGCAGAAATAAGTTGTGAAGTCACTAAAAGCTTGACCCTACTGCTAAACACTCTCAAAACCAAGCCGAGCTTCCACTTGTTTGACAGTTCTGCTGAACAGTAACACCCCCACTAATTTCAGTATTTTCATTCTCAGGTTTCAAGTGGGTTTTTTTTAATCTAGCCCTACATTTCTGTAGGAATGTGGAAGTTTCTATAAACTTCAGAACTGCTGAATGGTTCAGAAATGATTCAGAAAGATCTTGGTAGCTAATTTTTTCCTTTCAGAAAGGATACCTGAGCTCAGAGCTCTCAGCAAACAGCTGGAGGGTTTCCCTACTTAAATATCCCATCTCCCAGGAGCTTGGATGCTTTGCTGACAGTACATTAGTGAGAAACCACGTTGAAAAGCTGGATTTGCAAGTGTTCTTGTCTCACTGCAAACATCCTACTGATCTTGCTCACCTAAGCTATGACAAGAGTTTGATGTTGCTATTAAAAAAATAGTCAAGTATAATTTTACACTTCCTGGTGAAAATGAAGATGATGGTACAACCTGCAGAACTGCTGCAGGTTAAAGGCCTCTCAATGAAAACCACCATAATGTACAGGACATCAGTTAAGGTGCCTTATTCACAGCTAATAATGGCCTGGAGCTGTGTCAGGGGAGGTTTAGGTTGGATCTCAGGAAAAGGTTCTTCCCCCAGAGGGTGGTTGGGCACTGACCAGGCTCCCCAGGGCAGTGTCACAGCCCCAAGGCTGCCAGAGCTCAAGGAGCATTTGGACAACGCTCTCAGGGACAGGGTGGGATTGTTGGGGTGTCCTGGGCAGGGCCAGGGGTTGGACTGGATGATCCCTGTGGGTCCCTTCCAACTCAGGATATTCCATGATTCTAATCAAAGCAGACTGGGGAACACCACTTACAACTAAGGTAAGAACCAGCCACACAAACAGCCTGAAGTCAAGTCACACGATGTATCTTGTCCTCCCCTCCCTGGGCCAAAATACAGGCACAAGATGACAGAAGATCTTCTTACTATAAATCAACATTAGACAAAAAAAATCAGGGTAGGATTTTAAAGAGCTGCTTTTTTCCTGCTAAACACACCTCCTCGAGCTTCAAAAGGACAGAACAACTGCAAATCACACCTCAGGTGAGCAGCCTGGCACAGCAAACACCAGCTGACGTGGAGGCCAAAGAGACTGTCTGAGGCTGTCCCTTACCAGGAGCTGGCAGGGCACACTGATCTGGGCACAGGTTACAAACACAGAGTCAGAATGGTTTGGGTTGGAAGGGACCACAAGGATCATATTGTTGCACCCCCTGCCATGGGCAGGGACACCTTCCACTAGCCCAGGTTGCTCCAAGCCCCATCCAACCTGGCCTTGGACACTTCTAGGGATGGGGCAGCCACAGCTTCTCTGGGCAACCTGTGCCAGGACCTCACCACCCTCACAGGGAAGAATTTCTTCCCAATATCCAACCTAAACCTACTGTCAGCCTGAAGTTATTGCCCCTTTTACTGTCACTATGGTTCCTGATGAAGTGTGTGATTTAAGGATGCTTCTCCTGCACCTCCTCCCTCATACCTAAGCACCCACGTCCCAGTCAGGCCACAGGTTAGTCATGACAGCAGAGTTTAGACATTCTGGTTTTGCTTATTGAGAAAGCCACAAGAAGGATTCCAAACTGAGTGAAATTGCTTGAAATCCTGCCTATAAATTCAAAAAACAAAACCAAACCCAACCAACATTACTTCATGATTCAAGTTGTAATTTATCAACATTTTCACCTCTCAACCCCAAGGTCTACATATAACCCTCTTTAAAAAAAAAAAAAAAAGGCAGTGTTACCTAACTGCTGTGTAAAACAGAGCTAACCCTGACCTTGCTGTACTAGCAGGAGTCCTGGGAGTAGATTGTTTTAGTCCTACAAGAACACATGACTGCACCATGTACAGTTTAGATATCCAAGTGCAGAAAGCTGTGGGCAGGTGCTTGCTGGTTTGGCCACAGAGCTACTGAGGTTTTCTAACTCCATCCAGAATTCCAGAACAGTTAACTCAAAAGGTGTAATTTAAGATATGCATCGAGTTGTCCAATTAACAGAGCGGGAGCAGCATCAGTGATACACAAGGAAGGTGTTAAAGGGATACAGAAGAGCAACAAATTTCATATCAGGATGGGGAGCAGTATCTAGTACTCTAACCAGAAGAAATAGAAGGGTTCTCCTTGCTGAGGTGCTGGACATCCCGTTTTAGAAGGAAAGCAGTGGCAGAGTGCAGGTGTCTGCTGAGAGCAGGATACTTACTGTCATCCCCAACAGGCCCTGCTGAACACTGTGCTGGAGGATCACGTGCCAGATCGTTCAACTCCTACAAAACAGGAAGAGTTCAGTTCAGTTTGTTTCAAAAACAACCATGTTATTGCTAAAAAGCTGCTGGTGGCAACTCTGGCAGCATCACAAAACTAACAGCCAGGATTTTGGAAAGTAAAGCTGCATCTTCAACCCAGGAGCCACATTTGGCACCTGCCTCAGTGACCTGTCCAGGCTGCCCAGACCCAGAGTCACAGCAATCTCACCATGTCCCAGGGTCTGTTGGGTTTGCCTGCACTGTCCCAGCATTACCAAGGTATTATATCCTCCACTGTCCCCAGGTCACAGGGAGATAAGGTGGCCTCAATCCAACAACTCTCTGTATCAGCCTTATTTTATCCCCTCTATTGTAACAGTTCCCAGACTGCTCCAGCTACAGTGATCCAGTTTATCACCTCCACAGCCTGCCTGCAGCACACACAGCTCCAGTAACCTGGGGCTGGTTTACTTCCACACAAACACATCAGTGACCACGGGGCAGGGGGAAATGGAATAAAACACAAGGCCTTCCCTACCTACAGACCTGAATGGAAACCCTCACTTTTCAGTGGCTGTGTCAGTCAAATTTTCCTCTGAAGAAATCCCATTACGAGTCTGAGTGGGCTGAGTAATTCACAGTACTCCTGAATTATACCAAGCTTCAATTTGAAGCAACATTTTAGCACAGTTCAGAGAATTACTGTTACCAGCAACTCACATTAGCCATTTTCTCAGGAAGTGGATGTTTATTGGGAAGTGAAAATAGAGTAAAACTTTAAAGACAAACTTTACCTGCCCCATTTCTGGCTCAGCCACTGACCTGCTTTGCATGATAGGCCCACACATATCAGCTTTTTTCTGTCCTAGCTCAGTCTAGAAAGCTGAACACACATCAGACAAGGATTACAACTAAATCTCGTGCTCAGGAAACACTTCCATGCTGTCCCCAGTCCATTGTGCTTTGTGTTCAGCTTTTCACCTCCCAGCAACAGTCCACAGTGAAGTTTCCATACCAGGCTTTTGGCAGACAAAACATTTAAGAACAATGTTTAAGACAAGCTGATAGCAGGAGTGGAAGAGGTTTGTCACTTAAAGGCCTTTTGTTATTTACAGGCAGTGAGTGATTATGCTCTTGAACAGATGATCTCTGGGAATTCCAGCTTCTACTTCCCAGGAACTGGGAGGCCATCACTAAGCAAACCCTCTCCAGTTACAATCCCGGAATGTTGTCTTCCATCAAACAGGTAAGTCTCTGGGTTTCCCCCTCTGGATGCAATGCAGATCCAAAGCTTCACATTCCCTGACACACACACAGGTTTGGTTCAGCTCTCAGAAGCTCCCAACTGCTGAAGAGCCCAGCTGGAAATCTCCTGACTCATCAGTCCATGGGAGCTTTTGTGGAGCTCCTGCTGAGCTTCTTCCACTTTGTGTTTCAGCACAGACTTGGGCAGGAGCAGGCACTGCACACGCAGCACCTGCTCAAGAGCCTCCTTCATCCTGAAGGTGGAGAGAACATCTCCAGTGCTCCATGTGCCATCTCCAAAAGCCCTTTGGAGTTGCTCCAGCAGCAGCAAGCCAGGAGACACCCTGCACCACCAGAGCAGCACAGGAAGGTGCAGACACTACACACACCTTCGGGTCAGTCCAGCCAATGAAGTGAGTCTCCACATGAAAACTTAAAAACAGGAATACACCTACTCTTCCTAAAGTTGTATAGAACACAGTCCACTTCCAAATGCTACTGGACTCTAATTTTCTGGAAAAGACAATTTAATGCTATGGTATTCAAAACCACAAACACACTCATTAAAAAATATTCCTTGCCACTTCTCATCCTGTTTTATGCAGCAATACAAAGCATACACAAGACTAGGAAGGTACAACTGTAAGAATCCACATTCTCCATGTAGGACCACAGCCCACCACGGATTATATTTATGAACACACAACATGCAGCTTCCCTACTATACAGGGGAAATGGTTACAAACAGGAGCTTGGGCACACACTCCACCAGTTAGTAGAATACACATAAAGCTGCCCTGACATTCCCCCTGTATCCTGTTGCCCAAATGCACCAAGGGCTTCACCACACTGGATACCACAGTGGGACCACAGGGTAACTCTCCAACAGAGGCAGCAGTGAAGTTCAGGTAGTAGCAGCTCCATTTCTCATCAAAATACTATTTCATTTCCTACATCTCCAGTTCCAGTTAGAAAGGAATACTTTGGTTTTCTGAAGCCCTGGGTATTATCTCAGTGGAAAGCCATGACTTACAACAAGCACTTGTACCACTCATCTCAGTGACAAGGTGGCATTTCAGGTTCTGCTCTACAAATTCACAGAGTAAAACATCACAGATTAAAAGGCCTCTGTAAAAAGCAATGTGTAAGCTCCTTGTGCCTGGAAAAGTTTAGCACCAACTCCCATTTCAAGCCCCTGCAACACAAAACCTCCCATATTTTGGAGAACAACAGCTTGGAGAGCAATGAGGAAGTTTAAGACCCCTCTGGAGCGCAGGCACCAGCTGCCTCTGCCCACCAGAGAGGCAAAATGGATTTCCTGGCAGGGCATGGATAATCCCTTTAACACACCATTCCCTTCCAGCTGCTTCTAAGACTCCCACTACTCCCTGGTCAGAGCTGCAGAGCCAAGTTTAAGGACAGGAATGGAGCTGCATCTATCCAGGCACACACAGAAGAGCACCCATGGCTGCTGCAGAGCCAAACCTGTCCCAGAGGTTACTTTGTCTTTTGCAGGCTCCTCGCAGTTCCCAAGGCACTGCAAAAGCACAACACTCGACCCAGCGAGGCCTTTGCTTCCAGATGTTGTTGCTGAGGGAGACTGAGAACCAGCTGGTTTGTGTAACTCAGAACAAATGACTCCAGAGTTCCCATAAAACTGCAGCTCATAGCACGTGGTGGGTTCAGTTACAGTCTGGTACCATCTACAAACTTGAACGAATCTGATCCCAAACTGTTTTATTCCCCTGTGATCCAGGAAGTCTGGCTCGTCAGTGATCAAGCCTGATCTTGACCACACTGATATTAAAACAAAATCTGAAGCCAGTTCCCACTCCAGACAGTTTCTGGTCCTTAAGCACACGAAGAAGGTTTTGCTTTAGAAGCTTACAAGTGAAGACTCAAGCAGGCTTTAGATCAAATTCCAGTTTGAGTTACTCAGCTCCCGGGGGCTGCCTCACCCTGAGCTGGCTTTCCAGCTGAAGGCATCCTATAGAATTTAAAGTTTCTGCCACCTCCCCTACAGCAAAACACCCCCAGGGCTGGGCCCACTGCTGTCGATCCTACCATTAACCTGACCCATCTCACAGCTATTAATGAGTCCCTCAGCAAAAATGAGGAAGTGGAAGCACAGCACAAAGCAAGGTTCAAGGTGTCCTGCCCAAAGGCCAAGTTGAATGCAACTACTATAACTAAATCCACGAAGGACATACCCTAAAAACTATAAAAGTCACACAAGAAACTGATGTTTAGGCTCCAAAATGGGATTTAAATGTGCTACAAAGTTCCCAACAAACTAAACTCCTACTCAGGGGTTCCATGAAAGCATTTTAAAGGAGATGGAATGTGTTCATGCCACAGACCCCCCAGCTGTGCTTCTCGAGTCATGAAAGGCATCAGCTGCCAGCGAGGCCTCAGGGCTCACAGGCAAACCAGTGCCACCAGCCTTGCTCAGCCCCACACTCATCCCTACACTCCTACAGTTCTCCTGTTCCCAGGAGCTTCTATATTGCCTTGAAAACACACCTCAATCCAGGAGTTCACAAACTGCACAAGAAGCTTTCAAAGAACTACCAAACCCAAGTGGTTTAGGTCTCAAAGTTTAACCCTGCACATGTTTCAAGCTATTATAATTGTAAGCTCCAAAGACATTTGTTAGAGAAGTTCAAATTTATTCCTATAGACAACAAATCCCTCGCCAGTCTAACACATTCCTGGTAAAACCTGCTCTGGCCAGAAGACTAGTTTTAAGGATTAAGTTAATGCTAATACAGCCTTCAGTAAGAATAACCAACCTAACTGGCAACCTCAAGAAGCCAATCAGGTGAGTAAAAAGTCAGCACCCTTTAGCAGTCAGCTCCAGCAATTTTATTTGGTACATAGCAGAGCTCCTTAAATCTACTCCAACATACCAGGTGTATCCCTCTAGATTATGCAAAGTCCTCTTAGCTTGGACTCCATGGGCTTTCCACCCTGCTCCAGTTTGAGCTACTTTCACATTCTATTTTACTCAGAGACCACATCATTAGCTTGATTATAAACCTCATTTCTGCCTCAGGTTGCTGCTGTGAGTGAAACAAGCTTTCCATCTGCCTTTAGCAAGTCTACTTGCCCCAAGCCCCTGAACCCTTCAGCAACAGGCAGTGTAGGGTGATGTTACAAAATCCTGACTTATGTAACCAAAAAGGAACTCGCAGCCACTTAGCCATGAATTGTTCCCAGCTCCCAACAGAGCAGAGCCAAGCAATAGGGAATCAGGGCCAAAGTCGAACGGATCACACCCAGCCTCACCTGAGGACCACAGAAGGCACTGCCAGTCCCTGTGCAGGACCCGCGGGGCAGGAGGGTGGGAACAGGCTCTGCACCTTCCCTAGGCCAGCAGCACCTCCCTGCCAGGTGCCAGAGCCTGGCTCCACCTGGCACTTCCCTCAGCTCCTCTCACACAGCAGCACCAGGCAGTGCTCTCACGTGTGCACCAAGGTCAGGCCACCAATTCCCTGCCACATCCATAGGGGTTCTCCTGCCTGCAGACTACGATTCCCGAGCATCTGCCATTCTAATGCTGCTATCCTGATTAACAGCAGCATTTTAATCCTTCCCTTTTGACAGAAACTGCTTTCGCAATGCTTGCAGTGGCTCAGATCCTCCAACTTTGACTCCTTCCAAGACTGTAGAAGTCAGAAGGCAACTGAGCAGCATGAAAAGACTCACGATTACAGCAATAACCAAGGTAAGTGTTATAAACACACTCTGATGTAACTGTCACCTTTCCTTCTTTA